CTGTATCTGCAGATCCCGATACAACTACAACTTCTATAACTACGAACCCTGCTACAACTACTATATCTGCAGATACTGATACAACTACAACTTCTATAACTACGAACCCGACTACAACTACTATATCTGCAGATACTGATACAACTACAACTTTTATAACTACGAACCCGACAACAACTACTATATCTGCAGATACTGATACAACTTCTATAACTACGAACCCTACTACAACTACTATATCTGCAGATCCCGATACAACTACAACTTCTATAACTACGAACCCTACTACAACTACTGTATCTGCAGATCCCGATACAACTACAACTTCTATAACTACGAACCCTGCTACAACTACTATATCTGCAGATACTGATACAACTACAACTTCTATAACTACGAACCCGACTACAACTACTATATCTGCAGATACTGATACAACTACAACTTCTATAACTACGAACCCGACTACAACTACTATATCTGCAGATACTGATACAACTACAACTTCTATAACTACGAACCCGACTACAACTACTATATCTGCAGATCCCGATACAACTACAACTTTTATAACTACGAATCAGACTACAACAACTACAACTACAGCACCCAATACAACTACAACTTCTATAACTACAAACCCGACTACAACTACTATAGCTGCAGCACCCAATACAACCACAACTTCTATAACTACGAAACCTACTACAACTACTATATCTGCAGATCCCGATACAACTACAACTTCTATAACTACGAACCCTACTACAACTACTGTATCTGCAGATCCCGATACAACTACAACTTCTATAACTACGAACCCTGCTACAACTACTATATCTGGAGATACTGATACAACTACAACTTCTATAACTACGAACCCGACTACAACTACTATATCTGCAGATACTGATACAACTACAACTTCTATAACTACGAACCCGACTACAACTACTATATCTGCAGATCCCGATACAACTACAACTTTTATAACTACGAATCAGACTACAACAACTACAACTACAGCACCCAATACAACTACAACTTCTATAACTACAAACCCGACTACAACTACTATAGCTGCAGCACCCAATACAACCACAACTTCTATAACTACAAACCCGACTACAACTACTATAGCTGCAGCACCCAATACAACCACAACTTCTATAACTACAAACCCGACTACAACTACTATATCTGCAGACCCGATACAACTACAACTTCTATAACTACGAAACCTACTACAACAACTACAACTTCTATATTTCCGAACCCTACCACAACAACTACAGCACCCACTACAACTACAACTGCAGCACCCAATACAACCACAACTTCTATAACTACAAACCCGACTACAACTACTATAGCTGCAGCACCCAATACAACCACAACTTCTATAACTACGAAACCTACTACAACAACTATAACTTCTATATTTCCGAACCCTACCACAACAACTACAACTACAGCACCCACTACAACTACAACTACAGCACCCAATACAACTACAACTTCTATAACTACGAAACCTACTACAACAACTACAACTTCTACAACTACGAACCCTACCACAACAACTACAACTACAGCACCCACTACAACTACAATTTCTACTCCAAATACTACACCTATTACAACACCAGGTATGTTCTGAAAAGAAGAATGAAAAAATGAATGTTTTTTATCTGTTTAGGAAAACAAATTGTAGACACAACCAAATGTGTGTGTGTGTGTGTGTGTGTGTGTGTGTGTATGCACTTCTCACTCTATGAGCCCACTGTTATATTTTTTATGTGAATTCAGAAAATCATATAAACACATAATTTTAGGTTTATAATTATTTTTGTTTGTTTGTTTTATTTTGTTGAAATCAAATTGCTCAATTTTGTTTAGCACCAGAAGGTATATACAGCAAAATGAGACTCCCTGGGAAAAAGAAAATCTATTAAAATTACTGTATTTTTGTTAAAGGAGCTGTATTTAAGACTGTTTATTGTTTATTGTTTATTTGTTTATTTGAAAAGGGACAATGTACACTAATCAACATTCACATCAAATGTAAGTGCACCCGAGTTAGCCACAGGCTAGTTTTCATCGGCAGTCCCCAGACTGTGGCCAAAACTGGTACTGCAATCAGTTTCAAATTACTGTAGAGCGGTGTATCCCCTCTCCCTCCCCTCCGAGGATGCCAGATAGGCTGCAGGATACAACATTTTTTTTTTATCCCACACGTTTGTAGCTGCAGCTGTGGTAACTAGAGCAGATCTGGCAACCCGAATGCTGCAACACTTCTGACTTCGTGATTGGTAGATCGGTGGAGGGTGGAGCATCAGACCAAAACACAACATGACAGTTGAGGGCTGCAACTTCACTTTTTAAATGACAATATCCTGGCTGGACTGCTGTTGTCAGTGATATAAGTATTTGAAATGAACATTATGGGCCCTATTTTAACGATTGAAACGCAAGTGTAAAAGCGCAAAGCGCAAGTAACTTTGTGGGAGGGTCCCGGCACTGTTGCTATTTTCCCGGCGGGATAAATGCCTCTTGTGCCTGGCGCAAATCTAAAAGAGGTTGGTCTGAAGTACCTTCATTTGTTGAAGTGGCGCAATTGTTTACTGGAAGTGTAAAATACCACCAGGGAATGTTTGCGCCGAAACACACCTCCTTTTTGCGCCGATCCACCCAGGGAGCACAAGTTCATTTCCTATTTACTGACGTGTGTCTGTGGAGGGAAAAATCCCAATTTGCGCGCGTGCAAAATAGGAATGATACATGCGTTTGTGTATAAAGTCATTTGCGCCGGGTGCAAGATAAAGCCCTATTTCTTAATGTCTAGTGACATACAGTATCAGGGCCATTTTATGATTATTTTAAATAAATGTCTTACATACAGCTCCTTTAATTGTTCCATAAAGCCTATTTAACAAATGTTTAATTCACGTGACTTTTTTAGTTAATTCGCCATATTTTTTAACATCAACATGGCAAAAATGATGACAGTGAATACAAAAACACAGAACAGAGATGCTAATTATCAATTGATTTTATCTATACCAGGTCACAGGTACACAGAGATGCTTGGTTCTTTGCTCATGTTTTTGAATGCACCATCATTACTTTGTCCTGCTGATGGTCATAAATGCAGTGGGTGAACGGAAAAAGTGACAGAAAAAGATAAATAAATGCACTTTTTTCTTGTTTAGTCTTGTTTACAGTTAAAATGTCAATGAAATTAGATGAACCTTTTGATACCAGTCTCAGCAACCCCAATGCGGAGAAGTACCAACGCTATGCTGGTAAAATTAAGTCAGTGGTGAGTGTTTCATATTTTGTGTAGAAAATGTATTGATTGTTTATACTTAAAGGGACTCTGTGTAAAATTTACTCCCATCTAGCGGTGAAATTGTATTTTGCATTCAAACAAATTGTTCTCTCCAGCGCCTCGCTTTTTCAAATGCGTGTTGCACCTATGATAGCCATTATGTACTTCTAATAGCACTTCGTCGAGTTTTCCTTCAGGTGAACAGGTTTGTAATTTCAAACTAACTGCAACTTGACACAGCGAACAAACAAATGTTCCAGTATGAATTACTGACTGTGAAAATCATGAACTATTGTTATTAGTATTTATGCCTTATTTATTCGTCACATTAGTCTTGTACTTTACTCAATAGATGCTAACGTTATTCATCAAATAGTCTGTTTAACTTTCACTATAAATGTTCTACTTTCTATTTTTTAAAATACACAACCAAGCGAAGAAAATATGCTTGTAATTAAGACTGTAACATTGACTTACCCGTCGAGGAGAAAGCAGGACTCCAGCGTCTCTTCTGGAATCTTTCTCCTGCATTAGTTCTTTCCACCTGGAAAAAGCTATCCCGACATTAACTCTTGGTTTTTTTTTGTAATCTCTGGTCATGTTTCCTTTTTCATTCAATTTGGGACTTTGGCGTCGAGGTTTTCTTATCCTGTGGCGCATAGCTGTCAACCCTTGTTTTTTCCGGGTTACTCACGTATTTTAGCTCTTTTCCCTCTGTCTTCCCATTTTAGTATTTTCCCATAAAATATTCTGTATTTATACTTTCTGATTGTGTGAGACGTACAAGCTTGGACAGATTTGGCTTGAAGTCATTCATCCTTGGATGTGGCGCTGCGTGCGCTGTTATAGGCCGGAGGCACACTGGATGCGTGGCGTGTACGTTTTTATTTCGGCTCCCATGTTAACAGATTAGAGCTTGCACACTGCCTGCGTGACACACACGTCTCCAGAAAACTCGTGCATGCTAGAAATAGAACTGACGCCTATTTTTCACGCAAGCGTATTGAAAACGTTTCCAGGCAAAAAAAATGTAAAAAAATAGGAAACAATGTTTATATATCATTTTGTACACAAATACATTAAAGGGACACCAGGCAGGAATGATGTTTTTGTCAAACAGCGACCCCTAGAGTAACTGTGGAGTACTTGTTTTTAACGTTACTGTCGTAAATACCACTCATGGTCCCAGAACGTTCCCAGAACGTTCTGAGAACGCCCCCGCTGGTGTCAATGACGTTGCCTGGTAACGTTCCCACAACATTCCCAGACAGACACGATGTGGAGTTCTTAAAAGGGTTTGGGGACATTATTTGGAGGACCTTCAGGGAACATTCAGGATGTTCTGGGAACGTCTTGTCGTGTGACTTACCATAATAATAGGTGAAGGATAGGTGCATGTACTTCACTATGTACTCAGGAAGGCCGTTTTCATCTTGAGGCCTGTAACCTGGCAACCACAACATGTGGGAACCCATAATCAGGAAGGCATAACAATGCCTGTAACCCAATAGTCCCAATGCATGCGGAGCTCACATTCAGGAAGGCCGCCGAGGCCTACAACCTGACATGTGAAGACTCACAACTGAACCTTAGCGCCCACAATAAGTGGGGGATTCACATTCAGGAAGGTCTGGTAAATGCTGCAACCTGACATATGACAACTCACAACCAGGAAGGCCAATGAAGCCTGAAGCCTGGTGACCACTGAGAGTGGGAGCATAGTACTCAGGAGAGGTGGTGAGGCTGTAGTCTGGCTACCACAGCATGTGGGAGCCCACATTCAGGAAGGCTGGGTGAGGCCTGTAACCTGACATGAAGAAGCCCATCACCAAGAAGGCCTGATAAGGCCTATAACCTGGCGACCTCAGGATGTGGGAGCTCATAATCAGGAAGGCCTGGTAAGGCCTGTAACCTGGAGACCACAGTATGTGGGAGCTCTTAACCAGGAAGGCCTGGTGAGGCCTATAACCCGGCAACCACAATATGTGGGAGCTCACCTTCAGGAAGGCCGGATGAGGCCTGTAACCCGATTGGTACAATATGTGGGATCTTAACAGTATGAGTAAGCTTGTAACCAGGAAGGCCCCTTTGAGATCTGTAACCCAGCGACCACAATGTGTGGGAGCTCATAACCAAGAAGGCCTGGTGAGGCCTGTAACCTGGCGACCACAGTATGTGGGAGCTCATAACCATGAAGGCCTGGTAGGGCCTGTAACCCGGCAACCGCAGTATGTGGGAGCTTATGACCATGAAGGCCTGGTGAGGCCTGTAACCCGGCAACCGCAGTATGTGGGAGCTCATGACCATGAAGGCCTGGTGAGGCCTGTAACCCGGCAACCGCAGTATGTGGGAGCTCATAACCATGAAGGCCTGGTAGGGCCTGTAACCCGGCAACCACAGTATGTGGGAGCTCATAACCAGGGAGGCCTGGTGAGGCCTGTACCCTGGTGACCACAGTATGTGGGAGCTCATAACCATGAAGGCCTGGTAGGGCCTGTAACCCGGCAACCGCAGTATGTGGGAGCTCATGACCATGAAGGCCTGGTGAGGCCTGTAACCCGGCAACCGCAGTATGTGGGAGCTCATGACCATGAAGGCCTGGTGAGGCCTGTAACCCGGCAACCACAGTATGTGGGAGCTCATAACCAGGGAGGCCTGGTGAGGCCTGTACCCTGGTGACCACAGTATGTGGGAGCTCATAACCATGAAGGCCTGGTAGGGCCTGTAACCCGGCAACCGCAGTATGTGGGAGCTTATGACCATGAAGGCCTGGTGAGGCCTGTAACCCGGCAACCGCAGTATGTGGGAGCTCATGACCATGAAGGCCTGGTGAGGCCTGTACCCTGGTGACCACAGTATGTGGGAGCTCATAACCAGGAAGGCCTGGTGAGGCCTGTAACCCGGCAACCACAGTTTGTAGGAGCTCATAACCAGGAAGGCCTGGTGAGGCCTGTAACCTGGCGACCACAGTATGCTCATAACCAGGACCTGAGATCCTGTCTCCCACGGGAGTTACGCCTCCTGCACACTCTCCTCCCCAATTGGGAGGAGGGGGTGCACGGGAAGCCACAATGTTCTTCTGGGTCTGTCTGTGATTCTCAGACCATGACAGACCAGGCCCTTCCGCCTGCCTGTGGCTGGGCAGAGGACCTCCACGTTATATAACTCTTAAACGCCACAGAGCGCGCCCTCCCTGAACTTCTCGACGGAAGGTCCAAAAAGTTCGGAAAGTGAAACCGGCGAATCGAGGAGAAAAGTTTCCTTTCTCTCCGATATCAGCCTGGTAGAGCCACAGATGTCTCTCCGTGGCCATCATAGCACCTTTTTTTTTCTTATGGGAACAGCAGATGCTTGGTGGCCTGGAGGGCCCGCAGCAGGTCGGTCTGGTAGGCCTGAAGACCGTAAGGGTGTGCAGAACCGCACCTGCCTGACCTGCTGCCGTGTATGCTCTGTCATTCAAGCGCGAAGATGTCTTGAGCAGCTTGGATGGCAGGGTCAGAGCTCTAAGTGAATAGGACCGACCAGAGGTGAGATTGTTAGCCAAGGTCTCGTCTACTGGCTGCATCGACACATATCCGTGCTCCGCGGCTCCCTCCACAGCAGCGAAACTAGCCCGCTGATGCAGATAGAGACGTGAGGAGAATGGGTTCTTCCATACCCTCTCGATCCAAGCATGGAGATCGGAAAGGAATGGAAGCTCCACCTGAAATCTCCATGAGCTCAACCGCCACTGAGCCTCAATGTTGTGTCTTTGCTGTAATTCATAATGCTACCTTTAGAGGCGCTGTGTTGTAAGAGGTTAGACAAGTGGGTAGAAGAAGAAGATGAGTTCAAGTGTTAGTCACGTGAAGTTACGGTCATCACATGTGAAGTTAAGATGGAAATAAAAGAGCATCATTGAAGATATACATGTCATGCTTATTATTATCATCCGGAACTTAACAAATTGGCGACGAGGATACTAAGTTTGATATAAAGTTACTGATCAACTATGTCCGTGCATGTATCTGCACCGTCAATGTTTCTGGCATGCCCGGGAGAGCCTACCATGCCATTCGACATGTGGTTGCGATGTTTGAAAACTATTTGACGGTAATCAACGCAGTGGGTGATGCATGGCCTGTTGCTAGGAGGAGGGCTACATTACTTCACTGTTTGGGCGCAGAGGGCCAACGGATCTTTTACACATTGCCAGACACCGGTGAGACATACAATTCTGCTGTTGATGCTTTGAAAAAACACTTCATGCCTAAAATTAATGTTGTCGTGGAACGGCATACGTTCAGAAAAAGAGTTCAAGCCTCGCACGAAAACATACAACAGTATGTTGCTGCTTTGCATGCACTTTCCGTTAACTGTGACTTCGGTGATAAAGGGGATGATATGATCCGCGACCAATTTCTGGAACATTTGCACAGTGATGATATTAGACAGAGACTGTTACTCGAGCCGGACCTGACATTACAGAAAGCAACTACCCTTGCAACACAATTAGAAGCCGCGGCTGAGCATGCAAAGAGAATGACGGCCGATAGAGATGCTCCGGTGCAAAGCTGTACAAGTCAAATCACAACACGCGAGCGGGAAACCCTGGTCACGTCCGACTGCTGCCTCCGCTTCGTCAGCCCGTAAGTCATGTTTCAGATGCGGTTCAGACAGACACTTAGCTAACTCTGCACAGTGTCCAGCTGCAAAGCTGTTTTGTAAATTATGCAACAAGAAGGGACATTTTGCTCGTGTGTGTCGTTCAGCCTCAGCAAATGATGTGCGCGAGGTACAAGTACATGACGTCACAGTGCTGTATCTAGAGAAACATGCAGAGTAAACCAAATACAAATAGACACACCCAGGCATAGAAAAAAAAGAAAAAAAAAGAAAGAAACAAGGTCTATATTACACTAACTGTGTGTGAATTATAGAAAGCACGAAAGGCCCAGTTCTACGGTGGCCGAGAGAGCTCACCGTGCTGCAACCTGATGAAGACGCATGCAAATAAAAAAAATGTGTGCAAATATAAAAACGCATGCGAATACAAAAAAACATCCGCAAATTAGGAAAACATCTTCATCAGTTCCACAACACACCTGTGCTCCAAGTACTCACAACACAACCAAATACAGAAACGCGCTGCAAACGTTCACAACACCACCAAATACAGAAACGCTGCAAGTAACACAGAGCACAACAGAAATGTTTCCGGGGAACCAAATAAGCAATATAGCAAAAAACCTTTATTGACGAAAAGTCAAAGCCTATATATTTTTTTATAAATAAACTATACTATTAAAATAATATTGTATATATAAATAATATTATAATATTATAATTTTTTTTTATAGTTTGTCTATACTCCTTGCTTACTCAAAGTTCTACTTTATTTTATTTTAATTTCTTTTCACTTTCCCCCTGCAAAACACAGAGATTCAAATTATTATGACACAACTTGTGTACAATATACAACATGTGTTAACAATATGTTCAATGTCATCACAATACAAATGAGAAAAGAACAATGATCTGAAAACTAAACTAAATAAATAAAAAAAAGGTCTAGAAGAACATGAAGGCAAGATATTAATCTATACATCAGTTACACTATACAAATAGTTTAATTTTATGTTTAAATTTTCATAAGAAACGTTTCCTAAAAATGTTAGGTAATGTATGGCACTAACATACAGATATATAAAACGGATATTTTAACAGATTTTTATAAAGTAAAAATAAAAAATAAATAATTTATTTGCAACCGTTATGTTAATCATTATATTTCTGTCGTCAGAACAGCTATACAGCTGATGGACAAAGTGCTGCATTGTCATAGGACTGTCATTGTTGTCTGTTGTTGCTCCCTTCATCAAGTTCCAAACGGCTACATAAATGACACACTAGGTGTCATGCTCACGCCCAATTCCCACTTGAAAAGCTTTGCCGTCTGCCCTTTGAAGGGAGTAGGGCATAAGGAAGCTCATGAGCAATAAGCAAGTCCCAGTTGGGTCCGTCACTTATTTGGTTCCCCGGAAACATTTCCGTTGTGCTCTGTGTTACTTGCAGCGTTTCTGTATTTGGTGGTGTTGTGAACGTTTGCAGCGCGTTTTGTGTATTTGGTTGTGTTGTGAGTATTTGGAGCACACGTGTGTTGTGGAACTGATGAAGATGTTTTTCTTAATTTGCGGATGTTTTTTTGTATTTGCATGCGTTTTTATATTTGCACATGTTTTTTTGTATTTGCATACGTCTTCTTTAGGTTGCAACATGTTGAACTCTCTCAGCCACCGTACAGTTCCTCATTAAGGCCATTTGGTTCTAGTGTGTTAAGAGTAAAAATCCAGAACGCCTCGCGTTGTAAAAGGGACTTCACTATGTCACCTCCTCGCTGGGAGCTTGTACATAGTGCCTCGCAATTGCATAGTCCATATTCTGTTATGAATTGCTGCTTTATGTTCTGCAATGCATAGTTTGAGAGGGCGTTTAGTCTGACCTACGTATACCAATCCGCATGGACATTTCAACATATAAATCACATGAGCAGTGTTACAATTAATGAAAGAAATGATCTTATATTTTTTACCTGAATGGGGATGGAAAATTGCTTTGTATCATTTGAGTTCGAGCAGTGGGTGCAGTTCCCACATCTATAAAAACCTAAGGGAGGAGCCGGCAACCACATAAAGATATCTGTCTAATGACAGGA